TTACTGGGATTACAGGCATGAGCCACCGTGCCTGGCCAGCAAAAGGCCCTTTTTAAAAAAATGTAATGGTTGTACATTTTGAAGTGAGCTGTATCCAAGATGCTGAGGCAAGACAAAGGCCTTGTGTGCCATATCCATCCACTGCATTGTTTTATTCTACCTAAGAAAAAGAGTTTCGAGTGTCTAATTTTATCTAGGTAGTTAGATAATCTGAGGAGAATACTAATCAATAAAATGTACATTTCAAATCCCTTGCACCTACAATACTCTTAAAATACTTTATCAGCATTAGCTGGCTAATTTCAAATCACACAAAACATGATGTTAATTTCAGAGCTTTGTAAACTCCTTTGATCGTAGGGCTGAATCAAGAAAATACCTGTATAATTAACTGGCGAGCTGTCAGATCTGGTCCATGTGAGCTGTGGGGTGGGGAAGCCAGTGGCATCACACCGCAGTAGAACATTACTACCCAGAGCAGACATGATTTTGGTGGCCGAGGTCATCACTGATGGTTTCAGACAACGCTCCAACTCAGCCCGCTGAAACAAAATTCCTGTGAGGCGCTCAGGTTCACTGCAAATCATCAGTGGATCCAGAAGCACTATAGCTGGGTCAACAACCTTTGACAACTCAATCATTTTGGAAATATGACAGTCACAGAACCAAGGATTGTCCTGTAGACCTAAAACAGATAGTGGGAAAGAAAGACAAAGGTTATTCTGATGACTTCAGTTTACATCCTGTCACTTGAGAAAGTAGGGATCTACCCTGTCTCCCTGAAAACAGAAGTGAAGCAGTCACCTTTATGTCAGTTTTGCTCTGCAATCCAACAATTTCAATGAACACATCCTATCCATTAGTTCAGATCATTAATAATCATGGCTAATACTTATTGAACACTTACTCTGTGCTAGATTATGTTCTAAGCACTTACTATCACATTTAATCCCAATAACTCTATAATAAATGATATTATTATCCCCACATTAAAGATGAAGCTCAGACACAGAGGGGCCAAATAACTTGGCCAAGCTCACATAGCTAATCAGTGTCAGAGCCAAGATTTTAATCCAGGTACAATAGAATGCCATAATACAGTAATAAAGATCTTTCAAAGGTGCTATGGAAATATTTACAGTATTGTAAGTATTATAGGGTGCTCAGAGGCACCTAACTCAGCCTGGAATAAGTTATGGTTTTATGTGATTTGAAGGTGTACTGAGGTAATGCAAGCTTTGTGTCGCAAAAAACATAGAGTGAGATACTGGCTGTGGCTGGAGAGAAGACTAGAAGGGCTGGTAGAAGCAAAAACGTGGCTTAGCATGAATGCCATATGTGGTGACCATGAAGGTGACTTGCCCAATACTCCCTTCAAAAGAGAATCAGCTGCAAGCAATGCAGTTAGCTGACAGTTTCTAGTCACAAGCATCTTCAGGATCTGTCTCACTTTCAGAATTGTTAGCAGAAGCCTTTGAGCCTTCAAGGAGGCTATCAGTGAGAGCTTGAAGGAAAGTGAACGAAATGTTACTGGAAACTAGAGGAAAGAGGATCCTTTGCTATGGAGTGGCAGAAAGTTTAGCAGCACTGTCACCTGTGATCCACACAGAAAGTCAAAAGCATACTCAATGCAACATGGTCTACCCAAGGATATTTCCAAACAGAGTGTTGAAACTACTCCCTGGTGTTTACTAATAAAATATAAAGAAGAGGCCACAGTTAAAAACCTGTTAAATATAAAGGAATCAAAACTTGCTGAGTTCAATTAAAAAACTATTTCTTATTCTCAGCCTCTCCAAAATTCTTAAATTAAGATAGAACTTCAGAGGAAACATCAAATCCAGATGGGACTATAAAATGATTTGCTAAAACCTCAGAAGGATCTAAGATGGAGCTTTAGAGTATTCTGTCAGACAAAAGTCTTTCTAGGATCTTAGGAGCGATGTTCCATAACAGCCTCACATAAAGCCCAAGATAGAAAAAAATGTATCACAGAGATTTGCAGTTATGGCTTTTTACTAATGGAGTGGAAGAAAACTTTTACTAAATTAGGAAGAAAAGACAAAACAACAATTTTACAAATTCTAACCATGGTGGAAATGTAACTGTTAGTTTGTAAATTCTATATTTCTTTTATACTTTTTAAAATTATTATAGCAAGTCATGACTGGGTCATGTTTTTCTACCAGTAATGGTAAAAGTTTGCTTTTTCATCTCCTGTTTTAGAAGTTTGCTTCTCTTCCATGGGTGAATAACTTTAAACTTTTCCTCTTATATTTAATCTTGTGAATCTATACCTAGTTATTGAATCAATATTAATTTGAATTGTATTCTCTTAAGTGTTGGTTCTTTCATCCAATTTTATGTGATAAGCAGACTTTCTAGTTTATTTTATATTGCTATGACCAAGTGTGGCTCTGGAACCTAATGTGTGGGCTGAAATCTCAGTTCTATCAAGCTTCGCCCCATGAGTAGGTATCTATAATAACAACCTCTCTCAGCCTCATCTACAGAATGCAGTTCTTTCACAGAGTTGCATGAATTTTAAATTACATAATTCATGGAAATTACCTGGAGCAATGGTTTATTCAAAGTAGAATCTCTGTGAACTTTAACCTTTCTTGCTAAGCATAGTACTTAAAACCTTTTGTAAAATATAGTCATTTCAACCTCTGAATATGTAACAAATTTCATACATATAAAACATATTCCCTATACGAGGGTCCATATTTTCTTGATCTTAACAACAGAAACCAAATGTAATACAACCTGTACAGACTAAAAAAGAATTCAAAACAAGTACGTAAGTAATGGTGGAGGTATTATCTGACAGATACTGAAATATCTATAATAATGAAGTCAGTTCATAGACATTCAAAAACTTACTTCACCAACAGACACCACATTAGATATTCAATCATTATTGTATATATTAGTTGACCTGATATGTGAAGGCCAGATTTAAATATATGAAAGATAAATTTAAAAAGTAATAGGAAATGACATTCTCACAAACTTTACTGTGCTTGGGTTCCTGATGAGGCCCAACCACTAACTCTGTGTCCTGGATCATGCAACCTTGCTGAGCCTCAGTTTTCTTATCAGCAAAATGGGAGAGTTGACTAGATAAATGCTAGAGGTTTTTACAGCCATAATGTTCTATCAACCTATAAAATAAAAATAATGATCATAGACTAAAAGAAACCAAAGATGGAACAACAAATTAACACTAAAATCCATCACTCAGTAAAAAGCAGAAGAATATGATAGAATGCCTAATTTGTGACATTTTTATCTCTATTGATTGAGGTGCTAAAGATAATCTGTGCATCTAGGCTGTTCTAATAGTGTTTTTTTTACAACAGAGTCTCGCTCTGTCACCCAAGCTGGAGTGTAGTGGCCACGATCTCGGCTCACTGCAACCTCCACCTCCCAGGTTCAAGCGATTCTCCTGCCTCAGCCTCCTAAGCAGTTGGGATTACAGGCACTCGTCACCACGCCCAGCTAATTTTTTGTATTTTTAATAGAAATGGGGTTTCACCATGTTGGTCAGGCTGGTTTTGAACTCCTGACGTCAGGTGATCTGCCTGCCTTGGCCTCTCAAAGTCCTGGAATTACAGGCATGAGCCACGGCACCCAGCCCAATAGTGCTTATTTTTAAAAGTTAAATCTTTCAAGTTTGTGACTTTTCTATGTCTACATTGATATACAGTTAAAATATGAATATCATAAAAAATGAAACCAGTTTATCAACTTTGACTACAATAAAGAGTAAAGGTAGTCAATTCTCCTTTTATAAACAATATATCTGATTTTACTTATTAAAATGGAGGGAAGGGGGAATTACTACAGTTTTAAAATTCTTCCAAAGGCTGAAATCCCTTCAGTAGTCTTATTTTACTTTGTATGCATATTTTTTACATTAACCAGTTTTGCCTTATACACATTTAAATATTATAAAGAACTAGATTTGGGATTAGATTGTTAGACTGTGACCCACACGGTTTAACAAATTAATCAAGTCAGTTGGTGTGTAATGTTCCAGTAACCTCTACAAAAAGCTATAAAAGATTTAAAATGTTGCTATCAATTGGTATTGTCAGAATTGTGAGCTGTACTTTGCAAGAAATCAATGAAATAAATACATGGTTTGCCTCCCACAGATAATTAAATCTCAAAGTGAGGATCCAATCATGTGTCTGCTCCCTGAGCGAAAGATAAAACCAGTGAAGAGAAGATCACAGCACACAAACTGGCAAGTGTCCTCCAGGGCAAAGATATGTTATCATAGTGCCTAAGAGGAGAAGATGGCATATTTTAAGTTAAATAAAAACAATCAAAAGATTTACAACAAAACACGTAAGCACCCACCTTAATATAGTAAGAATTCATAAATAGAATGATTCTAAAACATTTATATTGAAATAAAAGGTTACTTATATCTTACATCTATAAATTTGTGTCAATATTCTATACATAAAAGCTATGCTCATCATAGCTTTTTATAATTTGATTTTAAGATTAATTTCTAAATCTGCCAGCACATCAAATTTATTCAGTTATATAATATGTATGAAATATTTGAATAAAATACTTTGAAAACACTTCAGCTTATGCCAGATTTTTTCTTTTTTCTTTTTTTAATCTAATATTTATTTAATAATAATTCTAGCTCCGTAGGTTTTCACGTTATGCCAACTTGTACCCAAGTTTAATTACAGAAAAGGTAACAATTTCTAAATTGGTGGCATACATTTCTTTATAATTTTTTTAATGTAAGGCCATTTATTAAAATAGACAAACTGTAAGATGAAAATGAAGGCAACAGAAAAATTCAACTTTTCACAACCAAACATATTAGCACAACCTCAGAAATAATTTAGAAAAAAGTGTTGTTAAAAAATATGTTGCAGATCTCCTTTCCATTACCCAAGATTATGTCAATTCATGGTTCCAAATAAATCAATTTAAAGTTAGAGATTAAAAACTCATCTTCAGTGTATATGTAAATTCTGTGTTTTATCACACAGGTATGTTTATTCAACACTATCTTTTGAAAACGGGCCATTTAAAAAGACATAGTAATTTCCATTCTGTAAGTTTCACTCAACTTTACTTAGGGTTGAATACACATGAAATGTGCCTTTAATGCATAAAAATCACAGCAGATAGCAGCAAAGGACTGGGCGGGGGGTACTGAGGAGAATTTGATAATTCACATTGTGATTATTCCGCACATTGATGAAATATAATTCACACCTTTAAAACCTCGACTTCCCTTTTTAAAGAACCAAAAGAAATCCAAGACACCTTGCTGACACTTCCCCACCCCTAAACAAACTGATGACTCTTTTACACATAAAACTGAAATGGTTATGGCAGCAAAAGGTTTTGATGGCAATGAAAGTTTGTAAACTGTATTTCAATTTCTTTTTCTTATTCCCAAAATGCAAGATGCAGTGTTCTCATTCTTTCAGTAGTGCTTCTCCTGTAAATAATCCTTCATTTTGTTTGGCAAAGGCAGTTTCTGAATTAAGTCTATCCTGGTATACTAACATATAACACAACGACACAGGTACTGCAGGGAGCACACCTGCATGAACCAGGACACTGGGTTGGTGAGTCTGACTGGGTAAATTGCAGATCCAGGCAGCCCAGACCTTGAATAACAAAAAGCCCTATTTTCGGAGTCCCTGATTGAATGCTCAATTAGATCAACTATGGACCTATGTCCTTCCACATCTGGCTGTTAATAAAAGCTAAATCTACCATTTGAGCACTCAATTCTAGTGTGAAATGTTTTACCGTAGGGTCAGAAGCTCAAGCTTAAAGGGTAACGTCGTCAGAACTGTCCCAGACAAGTAAAGAACCATCTGGCACGTTTGCTAGGCTCCCTTCTGCCTCCCAACATGTGATTGGTCCCCAGTACCATCCTTGTTTTACAAGTTTTTTCAGCTCCCCTGTGAGGCTTGACACAAGCATGGGACCACTACTTTGCACTGAAGCAAACTCTTGCAATCCCACAAACAGAGTTAAGATCAAAATAATAACAGAACATACATTCAGTCATGTGGGCCTCTGTGCCAGTTAAGTCCACTGAAGTTCCTTTGGATTTGATTATTCTGCACTGGAGGTAGCAATGGTGGGCGTGGAGGGACATCATTGTGACCCGCTCTCAGGCTCTGCAACATGACTCCTGTGGTGCCAATCAACAAGCCATTCACTGACTGATCCACAAAGATCTCTGGGGCAACAACTAGGTCCTGGTCTACCTGACTCTCGACTTCAGGGAAACAGCACCCTCCCACTTGAGGAGGAACCACAGAGACTTCCACGGGAGAAGAACTGTCGATACAACAGCTACGTGATCCTTCCAAAGGATACATCCCCTCATCTAAAGGCACAGTCTACTGAATGTAGTCCCCAGGCATAAGTCCAATAACGACAGGCACATGTTCATCCTGGTGAAGATGCAGGTCTCGGTTATGAGAAGCCGAGCTCTTCAGTGAATTGGCTTGCTCTTGGCACACGGTCTCACACCTGTAATCCAAACACTTTGGGAGGCTGAGGTGGGAAGATTGCTTGAGGTCAGGAGTTCAAGACCAGCCTGGGCAACATGGCGAGATTCTGTCTCTACAAAAAATACAAAAATTAGCTGGGTGGCAGCACTTGCCTGTTGTCCCAGCTACCCAGGAGGCTGAGGTCGGGAGATCAACAGAGCCCAGGAGGTGGAGGCTGCAGTAAGCTATGATTGCGCCACTGCACTCCAGCCTGAGTGACAAAGTGAGATACTCTTTCAAAATAAAATAAAATAAAATTTAAAAATGTTAAAGCAGCAAAATCTGGAGTATAAATGTTTAGGAAAAGATTCAAGAGCTACAACGTTAACAATTTATTTCATGCTTTGAAATTATTTTAAAATGTATTAATGGTAAAACAAAATTCTTTTAAAAATTAATTTAACTGGTTATATCTAAAAGTTATGTAAATATTTTTAAATCCCTCAAAAATAAAATGTCTATTTAAGGTCAAAGGTACAATTTTTTAAAAAGTAGTGACCAAGAACTGAATACATTTAAGTGTTTTTTTCTTCTGAGGACAAAGGTAAGAGCACTCTCTAAGTTAAACTGTTACTTGCACTGCATTCCTTCAAGGCAACACATCAACCACTACACTAATTTGCATTAATTAGTTTACTTTATATAACTATTCTTGGATGGGGGGACAAGTGAACTTTATCTTTTCTAAAAGAATAATATTTATATGCATCAGAATAGTTGGACTAAATGTGCTTTTTTGTGTGTGAAAAGTGAGCAATAAATTCTTGCACAAAAGTTATTCTGAGGACTATAAGCCCTTGAAGGTACAGCGCATGCCTACTCAGCTTTTTGGAGACAACAGTCTTTAACAATTCAGCAGGGAAAGGAACATCTGTTTTTTTTGTTTTTTTTTTTTTTTTTTGAAGCAGGGTCTTGCTCTTTCACCCAGGCTAGAGTGCAGTGGTACGATCTCAAATCACTGCAACCTCCACCTCCCAGGTTCAAGTGATTCTCCTGCCTCCGCCTTCTAGGTAGCTGGGATTACAGGTCCCCACTACCGTACTCAGCTAATTTTTGTATTTTTAGTAGAGATGGGGCTTCACCATCTTGGCCAGGCAGGTCTTGAACTCCTGACCTCATGATCCACCTGCCTCAGCCTCCCAAAATGCTGGGATTACAGGTGTGAGCCACCGTGTCTGGACTACATCTTTTTAATGAATGGTGCTGGAACAAGTGGACATGTGTTTGCAAACATATAAACCTCAACCCCTACTTTACACAATACTCAAAAACTATTTTTAGATGGATAATAGCTATAAGTATAAGAGCTAAGAATAGACAGCTAAAAATTGAGTATAAAGGCTGAAACTATAAGAAAATAATGTAGCTGTGATACTGAGGTAGGCAAATATTTTTTAGGTGGTACACAGAAAGCACTAACTGTGAATGAAAAAACTAACGAATCAAATGTCATCAAAATTTAAACCTTTCTTACCAAAGACACGAGGAAAACTGAATAGACAAGTCAGCCTTGGAAAAAATATTCACAATGCTATAACAGACAAAAGACTTATATTCAATCATGAATAAAAGATAAATAATCCTTAAAAATTAAGCAAAAGATAGTTCATAAAGGAAGATATACAGTGACCCATAAGCAAATGAAAACCGCTTCCTGACCCACCCAATCCCCAAATAGCTGAAATGAGAAAGAGCAACAACATTAAATGTTGGTGAGGATATGGACCAACTAGACTGTTATGCATTGCTAGTGGAAATGTATAATGTTATATAGCCTCTTTGAAAAATGGGTAGTTTCCTTAAAAGTTATACATGTAGTCATTCTTTTTTTTTTACCACCCAGGATGAAGTGCAGTGACATGATCTCAGTTCACTGCAACCTCTGCCTCCTGGGTTTCTCCTACCTCAGCCTCCTGAGAAGCTGGGACTACAGGTGCGCACCATGACACCTGGATAATTTTCATATTTTTCAGTAGAGACAGAGTTTCCCCACATTGCCCAGGCTGGTCTCAAACTCCTGACCTCAAGTGATCTGCCTGCCTCAGCTTCCCAAAGTGCTGGATTACAGGCATGAGCTACTGCGCCCAGCCATACAGCCATTCTATAACCCAGCAATTTCAGTCCTAGGAATTTATCCAACAGAAGTGAAAACATGTTCCACAAAAAGCTTTGTACAAGAATGTTAATTGAAGCTTAATTTATTATGGTCCCAAACTCAAAACAGCCCATGTGTCCAACAATAGGAGAAAGGATGAACAATTGCTCCATTCATACAATTGAATACAATCTTTCAATAAGGAACTACCAATACATGCAACAGAATCGATGATTTTCAAAAATATAATGCTGAGTGAAAGAAGCCTGGCACAAAAGTGCACCTTGTATGATTCCATTTAATAACATTCTAAAGCAGGCACAATTAGCCTATAATGAAGAAAATTCAAAACAGTGAGGCAAGATTGACTGAAAAGAAACACAGGACTTTCTGGAGTAATGGAAATATTCTGTATCTTGATGATGGTGTGAGTTATGTAAGGTTATACCTTTATCAGAATTTACCAAATTGTAGACTTACAATCCTGCATTTCACCTGTCCAAAGTATACCTCAATGTCTCAATTAAAAACAAAGTTTTAAAAATTAAAGAGTGATGTCTTTAGAGATGAACTGTAAATTTGAAGCTTGACTCTGCCTTCTTACTAGCTGTAGAAAGAGGGTGAGGATTAGAGCAAGGCATAAACCTTAACTATGTGAATTTGTTTCCTCAAACCACAAAAAGGATGTGGCACATCTACAGAGATTGATGTGTTTTTTGAACTAAATTGACACCATTTCAGAAAAGTCTGGAAATACTAGGGCTGCCACTGACCTTCAGGCAAACTCCATTTCAAATAGGAAAAGAGCCCATGTTTATGATTGAGCAAATTTGGGTACAAGTAAAACAACACCCAAAAAAAGCATTTTATGTTTTCTCCTAGTGCAGACCTTTCTCTCCAAGACAAACAGTGTCAAGGCCTTACAGAATATGCCTGTGTAAATATTTGCTTAATCTTGAGAAAGAGGCCATGGAAATTTACCTGTATTGCAAATTAAAATTTAATTTTATAGTTAATTCCAATGTTGATTTGCAGGGCAATAGGTTAAGTTTTCATGGATACAATAAACGACAATTTTACTAAGTTGATGTTTTTACTCCTGTAGAAGAGAAAGAGTAATTGAAAAGCATCACCTTAATGTTTTTATTACATACATATATGATCTAAAGTGGTCAGTAAAGTAATGAATATATGAAGAAAGGAACTCTGTTGTTACTATATACTTCACATTATAAAGAAGGGGAGAAGGACCTGGGGTCTGGAGCCAGATGGCCTGTCCTCAAAACCCAGCTCCACCACTATATGATGAGTGAATTTGGGCAAGTGGCTTAACTTGTGTCTTATTTTTTCATCTATAAAATGGGGATGAAGTGGTATTTACTATAGAGTTAATGTGAGACTAGAAGTCACATAGGTCAAGTGTAAGAACTAGGTTGGCATTGAGTAATTCCATCAAATTAACTATTAATATTATTATTACAAATAGAACCCCCATCTGCTAACAATAATCAACAGAGAGTAATAAAAATTAAATAAAAGTAGGCTGTATCCCACCATAACAGAACAGAAGCAAATTCTACAGGACACCCAGAAAGATATAATTGCTATACTTAAACACTATGTTCTAGAAAAGCTAGGACTGGTTCTCATCACTACATTCAGTGATGCAATTAAAGGTTCAAATATTGTTGGAATAACAAAAAGGCCAAACAAAGAAGTCTTTATAGGATACTCTCATCCCAGTCACAGCTTCTATAGATAATCGTTGATCTAAAAGCATAATCTCAGAGACTGTGAACTTCATATTCTAAAGAACAGCTACATAAAATATTTCAATTTCTTCTCATTACAGTCCTATGAACAAAATGGAGCAAGCCCTACCATCACCATTTTCCAGATGAAAAAAACTGAGTTTTCTGTGTGTGATTTATCCACATCAATTGGTCCTCTCTTTTTCTTCTTTTGGTAACATATCAAACATGGCTTTGCTAAGGTCAGATGTCACATGCTTCAAACTATCCTTTGTTATTTATTATCATGATTATTTTTATCTTTATAAAAGTAATGCATGACCATTGCAGAACATTTTGGAAACATAAAAAAATGAAAAGTTGTCACAGAAAGAAAACAGTTAAGCAGAATTTAAAAGAAATTCAGCTAGTGAATTTCTTTTCAGTCTTTGCCTTTGCACATTTTTAAATAGTTATGTTCATGCTTTTTATACAGTTGCATAGCCTGTTTTTACAATTTAATGTTATACAAAAGTATTTTCATGTTACTGCTTTTAAAAAATCTGGACCCTAAAATGCAGTTAAAACTGTTTAGGTAACTTCCTATGGCTAGTAAAATGTCATAACATTTTCCCTTTGATCCCTAAGTTCCCATCCAGATTTAACTCCCAAGGAAAAAATATGAATGTTCTATAAATTGCTTCTTCATAGTAATATTAGTAATTGATCATTAGAAAGCTATTAATTGCAATGTAGTAATTGAATTTTATTTTCTACTATATTACACCACTGGGTAATTCTATTAGAACCAAGAATTACTTTCCAGGAAACTTAGAAAGATAGGTAGGGAAATAGTATCTTCCAGCTATTATGCTGAACCAGCCTTACATAGTCCTGATACCAAAACCTGGCAGAGACACAACAAAAACAGAAAATTTCAGACCAATACCCCTGATGAACATCAATGTGAAAATCCTCAAGAAAATTCTGGCAAACTGAATCCAGCAGCATATCAAAGAGCTTATCCACCACAATCAAGTCAGCTTCATCCCTGGGATGCAAGGCTAGTCAACATATACAAATCAATAAACATAATCCATCACATAAACAGAATCAATGACAAAAACAACATGATTATCTCAATAGACAATAGGTGCAGAAAAGGCCTTCAATAAAATTCAACACCCCTTCATGCTAGAAACTCTCAATAAACTGGGTATTGATGGGCTGTATCTCAAAATAATAGGAGCTATTTATGACAACCCACAGCCAATATCGTACTGAATGGACAAAAGCTGGAAGCATTCCCTTTCAAAACTGCCACAAGACAAGGATGCCCTCTCTCACCACTCCTATTCAACATAATATTAGAAGTTCTGGCCAAAGCGATCAGGCAACAGAAAAAAAAGAGTATTCAAATAGGAAGAGAAGAAGTCAATTTGTCTCTGCTTGCAGATGACATGATTGTATCTTTAGAAAACCCCATCATCTCAGCCCAAAATCTCCTTAAGCTGATAAGCAACTTCAGCAAAGTCTCAGGATACAAAATCAAAGTGCAAAAATCATAAGCATTCCTATAAACCAATAATAGACAAACAGAGAGCCAAATCATCAGTCAACTCCCATTCACAATTGCTACAAAGAGAATAAAATACCTAGGAATACAACTTACAGGGGATGTGAAGGACCTCTTCAAGGAGAACTACAAACCACTGCTCAAGGAAATAAGAGAGAACACAAACAAATTGAAAAACATTCCA